TGTTGTTATGTGCCGTCGAGTCGGCCCCGACTCATAGCGACCCCTCCTTGGGTTTCCGAGGCAGTATCACTACGGAAGTAGGATTGCCCAACCTTAGTCAAACCATAACAGTAGGCCAAACAATTTACAAAGAAGCTATTCCTAAAGTGAATTTTAATTTGAGAATAGCTTTAATATTTAAACATAAAAAAATAATATTTTTAGTTATTCAATGGGGTTGGCATATATATTTAGACAATCTGTATCATTGACTCAGACAATCAAGATTTTGACATGAAACATTATTCATGTTTCTGATTAAATGACAACATATTAATCTAACACAAGCATTTCAAACTTAAAAGATTTTATAATACCTCGTTTAACATTAAGACAAGTTACAAACATTTTCTAAACAGCAAATTCAAACATGCAGTGGCAGGGTTTTGAACACTGCTAATAATTCAAGACATGCAAATGCATTCCAAAAGGCCAAGACAATGTACAATGTGCTTCCAGTTCTTCTCCAAACAAATCTGTGAAGATAGTAAATGAAAAGAGACTGTATCACGGTTAGTATTTTTAAAGGTTCTTGAAGTCCAGAACACTGTGATCATGCAAAATAGCAATGACATGCAGTCAAGGATTAGAGTCCAGCTACATTCTAAGCTATCAACCTTCTAAAAATTCCAATACTGAAAGTAAATAAATTTTCATATACAATAAAATATCAACCAAACATAAAGGGTGGCACAACCTTTTTATGCCAGACAATATGTTTAAGCTCATATTATCATTTTAAAGAATTTTATATGCAAAATGGTAAGCTACAAATGTCTAAAATAGAGCTAGAGAATGCAAAGAAGTTTGAAGGAATATATTTGTCGTTAATAGTGATTATTCATGAAAAATGGAATTGTAAGTAATTTTAAAGCTTCTTCCTTTTTTGGTTCATTTATATAGTCTAATTTACTCTATTTAGACATGTATAATACATGAGTAATAATAATAATAAAAAGAAATAATCACTTAAGAAAAAAATGTTAGGTTTTTACTATATGGGAGATCTAAAACAAGTCTACCACAAGCTAAGGATTATCCTGAAATGCAGATTAACATAAATATCAGGATTTTATTTTAAATAACAGAAATATAGGTATAACAGTATTTATAATATCTCAAAGTATTATTTATAGCATTAGAAAACTGGAAACAATCTAAATTCTAACAACAGAGAACTGATTTAGTCTTTCTATGGAATATTGTGCAGCTTTAGAATTAAAGAGGTACATCTAAATGTATCTGTACAAAAAATAAAGCTCCAAGATATAAACAAAAAGCAGGCATAATAGCATCCTATCTTTGTTTAAAAAATTCACAGCTGGGTTTTGACAATTTTGTTAATATAGAAGCCTGTGTGGATAAACCTTAAATTGTGTTTCCCTCCAGGCAAACGGGTGGGTTGGGTAGAGTAGAAACAGAAATTTTCTATGTATATTCTACATATTCCATACTGTTGGAACTTTGTACAATAGAAACTTATTACATCTACAGTTTGAAAAGAAATTTTATGAATGAAAATATTTTTAAGCCCTTTTATCCTACATACATGGGATATATATCTCTTACTCTGATTGTCTCTACTACATCTTGGGTACAAAGTAGAAATACTACATTTGTTATTGTTATTATTGTTATTGTCACTATATGTATAACAGAAAATGGAGTTAAAAGTCCATACTGGTTGTGATTGGTTCTCAAAAGAGCAGTTCTGTGTTTATCATTTTGTGAAATACCAATTGCTCAAAGAATTTAAAATGTTAAAAAAAAGATACCTTTGCCTTAAAAAAAAAAAAAGTTGTTTTGGAGTTAACTGTGTTTAGAATTCTTAAATATAAATTTTGCCCACATTCTAAACACAATTTCAAGTAAATCTGACTTTAAAAAAAAGTCTGTCTCTGCTAGTTAAAGAGAAAAATGAGCTGCTTTACACATACGTTGTTGCTGTTGTTAGGTGCTGTCAAGTAGGCTGCAACTCTCATAGTGACCTTATATACAACAGAACTTTATATGTGTGTGTGTATGTATATATATATATGTATATATATATATATGTATATATATGTGTATGTATATATATATATATATGTATATATGTGTGTGTGTATATATATATATATATATATATGATACTAAAAATTGTGGATGCTGGATTTACTATTAAAATAATTGAAGCTTTTGTTTGTAGGGCATTGAGTTGGGAATGGTGGGAAAAAAATGTAAACCAGTTAGAAAGAAATGCTGTATTTCTGGCAGTTATTTAATATGATTTCAAAAATGCACAAAAGTGACCAATTCAGAAGTTATTTAAGGACAAGTAATATAATTTGTCTTGCATTGATTCTACCCAAGAAATATATTAATATGATTCATCTCCAGTCAATAAATTAAACTTTTAGAATGCAAGTTATAACACAACCAACATCTAAAACAATAGCATTTTGGCATCATGGAGCTAAAACACAAGTTTTTATTCTCTGGTGTTAGCTCAGCACACATAAATTAAGCATGCACAGGACTGTGAGAAACCAAACTGCAAGACATCACCACCTGGCCCATTTAATGAAGTATGGCAAGTGGTTGAGAAGATTGAATGTGTAGAAGGAATAGCGAGTGATCTCTGTCACAGTCCACGCGACCAGAAAAAGCACCACACTCTCCTCATTCTGGATCTGTAGGATTACAAAGAAATCCACAGTGTTTTTCAACCTTGAACTTACTTTTCCATAAAGATACTTTATTTATAATGTCCTTTGTTATAATGGAATATGTTAGGGTTAGACAAATTTAATGCAATACAGAAAACTTAATGTGGTCACCATCTTATAAATGATTATATACATGCAACTTAAATATGTCTTATGCATAGGAATGGTCAACCTTTACTTCAGCCAATAACAACCATCCCAGGATAACATCAACCCCTCAAAACTAGAATGGAAACAATCCGACCCTCCTACTTTCTATTAGTCATTGAATGATATCCATTTTATTGTAGAATCAACTCTTCAATTTGGCCACTCTTCTTTGCTCTACCACCATTATTTCAATTCAGGGCCATCTCATCTCTCATACAGACTACTGTAACAATCTCTTAAATAGTTTCTCCATTCTTTCTTTTCTTCACAAATGGAAGTTTTCTCTTGAAACCAAAGTAGAAATGCAAATGTAAACAACCACAAGATGCCATCTCATCTCAGTATTAATAGCAGTTAAACAAGACAGAAAGTAACAAATGCTGGTGAGGATGTAGAGAGCTTGAGACTCTCATATACTGCTAGTGGGACCGTAAAATGAAACAACCACTATGGAAATCAGTATGGTGATTTCCTTGACAACTTGGAGATAAAAATACCATTTGATCCAGCAATCCCATTACTAGGTATACATCCTAAAAAAGTGAGAGCCAGGATATGAATAGATATGTATATACCCATGTTCATCACAGCACTATTCACAATAGCAAAGAGATGGAAACTACTTAAATGCCCATCAGATGAGGAATGGATAAACAGACTGTGGTACACACACACAATGGAATACTATGCAACCCTAAAGAATAATGCAGAATCTGCAAAACATCCCATAATGTGGATGAACTTGGAGGACATTACGCTGAGTAAAATAAGTCAATCACAGAAAGACAATTATTGTATTAGTCCACTATTGTAAAAAGTCAAGGGAAGATTTATACATAGAAAGAAACTTTATTGGTTACCAGGGATGGGAGGAGAGGGGAGGGAAAATTTCTAAATAGGTTGAAAAAAAGAAAGACATAAATACCACAGGTTATTAATGGTTACCAGGGGTAGGAGAGAGGAGGAAGGGGGGCATTGAGATTATACTAATAGGTGGTAGAATATTTTGGAAAAGGATAGCAGTAATGATGACACAACATGAAAAACGTAATCAATGTCCCTGAGCTGTAAATGTGGAAGTTGTTATGTTGGTGAATGTCTTGTTACACATGTTTTCATCACAATAAAAGTAAACAAAACAAAACAAAAAATTAAACAAAGCAAAAAAACAAACAGACAAAAAACAAACTGGAGTCAGGTATTGCTAAAATTTAAAAGCTTCATTGGTTTCCTGCTTCTTAAGAGACTGTTGTTGTTGTTGTTGTGTGAGCATGATATTCAACATTCTTTACAATCCAAGTTCAGAAATTGCTCCAACTTCATCTACAATCACTCAAATTCCCTTACCTACTTCTTTCTCTGATGACACTAAAGTTCGTATTATTTCCAGAATACGTTCTGAACTTCCATATCTTTACATACCTGATTTCCCTTAATTAGAATGTTATTCCCTTATTACTTCCACTAGAAAATCCTTTCTCATCTTTTAAGATCCAGTCAGAACACTGTGTCCTCTAGAAAACTCTTCCCTTATTACTCTTCTCACCTTGAATAGAGTTATTTGTTCACTTTCTTTTGTTGTCACAGTACTTTGTTGATAACTATAAAACTTGCCAATTTGTATTAAAATATGTCTGGCTAGCTTCTGTATATCCATCAGCACTCAACTTATATATCTTTCCTCAGTGAAGCCTTCCTTCACTCCCCAGGTCAGGCTAACTCTTAAGTGTATTATACTGCATTGCACACTGGGCTCTGGTTTTAAAATACTTAACACTAATATAAAAATTTACCTATGTAACTACTTGCTCAACATCTCTCCCCATCTATAGGCTCCACAAGGTGGGAACCATGTCTGTACTGTTAACCACCATTATCCCCAGCAGTGTGTCTCACATAGAACAAGGGCACAATTAGTACCTGTTTAATGATGCAACATTTACATGATTGTACCTCTCCCCCATAGCCAATACACTTGACAGCTGGGATCACCTTATTGATTTCTGTAAATCTAGAAATCAGACAAATAGGATGCATTCAGTAAGTGTTGGTTGAATTAATTAAAGAGTGGTGGATGGGTGCCAATGAGAGGCTATTGTTGAGAAAAATAAATAGTAGTATTATACAGTGATCCTCTGGTGGCAAAAAAGAACAGGTAGATCCTTTTTCTTTTTGAGACTAGCAACTCTCATATTTTTGTGTTGTCAGTAGCAATTGAGTTGGCTCCAACTCATGGCAACTTTATGTAAAATAGAACAAAACGTTGTTCAGTCCTGTTCTGTCCTCTAGTTTAACTTCTGCTCTCTGGTTAACATGAGCCATCGGGTCTTTGTCTTTCTTCACCTTCTGTCTTTAGACATAATGTGGTCCTAGTCTAGCTATTATAGTCATATAATTTCTTCTTTATCCTATTAATGTTGTACTCCTGTTTCTAAACCACTGAGCAACTTAAAAAGTTGGCCTTTCTGTGTGGCCTTTTCTTATCGCTGTCTGTATGGGAGTCACTGATTAGAGACCACGTGGATGAAGTAAGTTGAGTGAAAGATACTAGTCAAGAGTGCCAAGGTGTAGAGTAATAAAAGGGCAGAAAGTCAACAATCTGTCCCCACACAGAAGGTGGCCAGTGAGTCTAGCAGGAAATGCAAAACAGGTTAAATATCAGTCCCCAAGCAAAGGACAGACAAGAACGGCATCCGAAGAATGGTAAAGCAGCCAGGTAACTGTCTTCAAGTAGAAAGAAGGTTATAAAGGCTGTCAAGGTCAGAAAAGTTGGTCTGGGAAATGTTTCTGTTATGGGTTTAATAGACCTAATATGTTGACACAGGCAGCATGATGTTTGTCTTGTCCAAAATTACATTACAAAATTAATTACATTCAGGTCTGTCTCCAGTCATGTCTCAATAAATAATGTTTATTTATTCCAAATTCTTTAACCTCCCTAACTTTTACTCTTCTCCATCTGTTATATGTGTAGAACTAGATTTACTCTTTTGGTCTATGACTACAACACTCAGTGCTAAATGATGAAAAATAAACTGCTTATATTGACAACTTCAATTATATCATCAAACAGAATACCCACAATAGACATATATTAATTTTGGGGAAGGGAAAGGCAATATACTATAAGAAGGTGTTCAGCACGATATCACTAAGGCAAAGGAACAAACAGGTGCATAAGAATTTATAGACAACAAGGGTACATACTATTACATACACCAGGCTGCAACTTAAAAAAAAGAGAGAGAATACTCATAACCTCAATATAAATGAAGTTTTAACTATTTAACAGAATATAAATATTAACTTAAAAATTAGAAAATATCAGAATATATTATGGATATAAAATGCCAATATTTGGTTTTGCTTGTCTTTCAAAGTCTCTCTATTAAAGCACTACAAAGCCTATGAACAACCCCACTTAAATTCCAACCCAACTTTTTTTTGTCCAGTGGTCCTGCTTCCAGAAATATACAAATGTTAATATTTTAGATTCCTATTAATAAAAAGCTTTTCTGCGGGCTCAAACAGAGAATATGTTCACATCACTTACTGGTTTTATACTGTGAGTAACAAGCCACACCATAAAGATTCTTGAACTCACTTGGACCCCAGCCACAAGCACAGAAGTAGGTACAATTCCTTAAAAAGAAAAACAAGTCAACTATTGTCCTACAGGCAATTTATAACAAAATAAAAATTAAAGCAAAAACTCACCAATTAAACAGTGGACTATCTGTAAGCAAATAAAGACAAAATCACAAGTCAATGGCATAAAACATAAAATAAACCCCTGTTCACATTGGTATTAAACGAATCCATAGGTGGTATGCACAAGATAAGATTGATTCTGGTCAACAAATAGAATTTCAAATAAATATGAGAATGGAAAATTAGATGATTAAGAACTTACCTCCAATAAGGCAAATGTCTGGAAAAATTTAAGTGTCTTCTGAATACTTTTATATAAACCTCTGTGTGTTCCTTTCTCCATATAAAAACGTATTATGGCAATAGCTAGGACCAACCACCTATAGAAAATTAAAGAATTTTATAAAATTCCATCAAAATTAATACCCCTGAACTTCTTGAAAATAAACACCATACTTTATATAGGAACAACATGTGAGTTACATATGTGAGTCTTCTGTTCATTATTCTAAGGAGCTCTGGTGGCACGGTGCCTAAGTCATTTGACTACTACCCAGCAGGTTGGCGGTTCAAACCCACCAGCTACTCCACAGAAGGAATATGGGACAATCTACTTCCATAAAGACTTACCACCTCAGAAACCCAAAGGGGTAGCTATGAGTTAGAATCAACTTGATGGCAATGAGTTTGGTTTGGTTTGGTTTGGTTCATTATTCTACTTAAAAAAAAAAAAAAAAGGAAGAAATGACAAACATTATTTTTATGCTTACCCTTCAAAGGGATAAATAGAATATATTACAGAAATTCATAGAAATTTAAAGCAATGTCCATTATATTTTTAGTTTCAGCAAATAAACCAACAGACTGAAGAAACTAGGTTTGGCACCAAATATGAGATTATCCTGAAGCACTAAATAACTATATAAATGTCCCTTGAGCTAAAAAGCTGTCAAATCTGTGTGTGAATATGTACTTTATACAAGTACATAACATATAATTATATGTAGGTACATAAAGTATAAATAGAAACTTTTTAGAATCACTATTACAGAATAAATTGTGTCCTCAAAATGTGTTCTAAATCCTAACCCCTATACCTGTGGTTATAATCTCACTTGGGATAGAAGCACTATTAGTGTGGGGTGTATCTCATGTCAATCTCTTTTGAGATATAAAAAGAGCAGACTGAGCAAGCAAGCACAGATGGGGGAACACAGATGCCGCGCCAGCGCCACATGAAATCTCTAAGGAACCAAGAAACAAGAGCTAATAAGACACAAGGGTCTTCCCCAGAGCCAATAGACAGGCAAAGCCTTCCTTTAGAGCTTGCACCTCGAATTCAGACTCCTAGTAGCATAGTGCCTAAGGCACTTGACTGCTCACCAGAAGGCTGGTGGTTCAAACCCACCAGCCACTCCTCGGAAGGAAGGTTGGGCAATCCTACTTCCGTAGTGATACTGCCTCGGAAACCCAAGGACAGGTCGCTATGAGTTGGGTCCGACTCGATGGCACATAACAACACAACAACAGCAGCCTCCTAAACTGTGAGAAAATTTGTTTCTGTTTCTTAAAGCCACTCACCTGTGGCATTTTTGTTATAGCAGCACCAGATAATTAAGATGATCATCAATTAATATTTATATAGCTCTCATTGAATATTAACAATTGCTGAGCCACATAAGGAATACATATTGAAGGTCAGGCATGGGCCTGCTTTCAAGGAATTTTTTTTTTAAATATATATATTTTTTCTCACTTATCAATTTACATTTGTATATTAAATATAGATTCTGTTCTGTGAATTAAAATACCGAGCCACATGTGTGGAGGCCAACTCTCTCACCCTATGCAATATCCTGGAGTCACTGATGAGAAGTAGTATTTTTTTTTGTTTCCCTTACAATTACATAAGGAGCTCTGGTGGTACAGTGGTTAAGGTATTTAACTCCTAACCAAAAGGTCAGCAGTTCAAACCCATCAGCCACTCTCCAGGAGAAAGATGAGGCAGTCTGCTTTTGGAAAGACTTACAGCCTTGAAAACCCTATGGGGCAGTTCTACTCTGTCCTATATAGTTGCCATAAATCAGAATCCACTTGATGGCAGTGGGCAGGCTTATACAATTACATAAGCCCTTTTAAGTGTTAAAAACAAGACAAAAAAAAAAAAAAAAGCCTCATCTGTACATCTTTAGTAGTAATAAATCTGTTGTCATAGAGTCGATTTCAACTCATAGAGACCCTGTAGAGCAGGGTAGGACTGGCCCATAGGGATTTCAAAGCTGTAATCTTTACAGAACCAGACTGCCTTACCTTTATTCCACAGAGCCACTGGTGGGTTGTGAACTGCAGACACACAGCCACAGAAAAGAGTACCTATCCCAGTTTTTTTAGATAAGTGGTCTCTAAAGTATCTATAGGGAGCTCTGGTAGCATAGTGGCTAAGACACTTGCCTGCTAACCAGAGGGCTGGCGGTTCAAACCCACCAGCCACTCCTCGGAAGGAAGGTCGGGCAATCCTACTTCCATAGTGATACTGCCTCGGAAACCCAAGGAGGGGTCGCTATGAGTCGGGTTTGACTCGACGGCACATAACAACAACAACAAAGTATCTAGTTAAACATATTTACAAATTACTGTACAGTTTTAACTTGTTAACTAACCAACACTCATAGAGAAATGGCTTTAAAAAATTCTTACAAAGACACTACTGATTGAATATGATGAAAATGCAAGCTCTACAGAAAATAAGAAGTAGAAGTGGCAAAACGGCACTTCTGTTCCTAGAACTTCTACTCCTCCTCATTAGCAAATGATGAAGTAAAAACAACAACATTCTTATCAGAAAAGATGTGTGGTGCAGTGAATTACTCAGTGTAGCTTTTCTAGCCACGATCTTTGTGGCACCCACTAGATGACTGGGTGGAACTATTCAAATGGGCCGTGGGCCACCAAGGGGACTGGATAGTTTGCTAACAATATCAATAAGTTACAAGGTGCACTTGTTAGTATGGGACCATGGACATAAGGTGTATGGAACCCTACTGTGGGGATTGGTCACTTTTGTCTTTCTGCTAGGCTTAAAACAAGGCCCGCTAGAGGGAGAAGAGGGATCTTAACTGCCATCAAGAGTGAAGAACCAAGGGTGGATCCTGCACTGGACTTCCTTGGCAGAGGTGACTGGCAGAGCCCAGCTGACCAGCACAGAGATGGTAAAAGCAGAATAGAGGGACCTGCATGAGACACAACAGCAGGCTTGTTGGCCCACAGAGTGAGAAAGCTAAGTGCCTTTGGGCATAAGGTTTACTGGTGGAATGAGTGCACCTATGTCATTGTTGTTAGGTGCCATCGAGTAGTCTCTGATTCACAGAGACCTCATGTACAGCAGAACGAAACACTGCCCAGTCCTGTGCCAGCCCCACAATCCTTGCTATACCTGAGCCCATCATTGCAGTCACTATGTCAATTCATCTCGTTGAGGGCCTTCCCCTTTATTGTTGTCCTTCCACTTTGCCAAACACGATATCCTCCAGGTATGGACCCTTCTTACAACATGACCAAAGTAGGTAAGATGAAGTTTGGCCATTCTCACTTTCAAGGAGCATTCCAGCTGGACTTCTTCCAAGACAGATGTGTTAGTTCTTTTAGCAGTCCATGGTATTTTCAGCATTCTTTGCCAACACAACTCAAAAGCATCGACTCTTCTTTGGTCTTCCTTTTTCACTGTCCAGCTCTCACATGCATATGAGGTGACTGAAAATACCACGGCTTGTGTCAAGCGCACCTTAGTCTTCAAGGAGGTATCTTTGCTCTTCAGCACTTGACAGACATCCTTTGCAGCAGATTTGCCTAATGCTGTATGTCGTCTGATATCTTGACTGCTGCTTCCATTGTTGCTGATTGTAGAACCAAGTAATATGAAGTCTTTGACAACTTTAATCTTTTCTCCATTTCCCATGATGCTGCTTATTGGTCCTGTTGTGAGGATTTTTGTTTTCTTTATATTGAGGTGTAATCCATACTGCAGACTGTAGTCTTCAACCTTCATCAGTAAGTGTTTCAAGGCATCCTCACTTTCAGAGAGCAAAATTGTTATGTCTGCATAATGCAGGTTGTTAATGAGTCTTCCTCTAATCCTGATGCCACGTTCATCTTCATATAGTCCAGGTTCTTGGATTATTTGTTCAGCATACAGATTGAATAACCCAGACACACTACCTTCTTGATTTTAAACCATGCAGTGTCCCCTAGTTCTGTTCGAATGACAGCCTCCTGGTCTATGCACAAGTTCCTCATGAGCACAATTAAGCACGGATGATGCTCTTGATGTCATCCCACTATTCTTCTGGTTTTTGGTCAGTGATGTTCAATGCATCAAATCTATTCTTTAGATGGTCTCTAAATTCAGGAGGGATATATTCAAGGTCATATTTTGGCTCTCATGGACTTGTTTTAATTGTCTTCAACTTCAAGTTGAAGTTGCATATGAATAGTTGATGGTCTGTTCCATAATCAGCTCCTGGCCTTGTTTTGGCTGAAGATATTGAGCTTCTCCATCGACTCTTTCCACTGATACAGTCAATCTGATTCATGTGTACTCTGTCTGACGAAGTCCACATGTGCAGCCGCCATTTGCGTTGTTGAAAAAAGGTGTTTGCAATGAGTAAGTCGTTGATCTTGCAAAATTCTATCATGCAATCTCCAGCATTATTCTATCTCTAAGGCCAAATTTTCCAACTACCCGTGATTCTTCTTTGTTTTCAACTTTTGCATTCCAATCACCAGTGATAATCAGCATGTCTTGATTGCATGTTTGGTCAATTTCAGACTGCAGAAGTTGGTAAAAATCTTCAACTTCCTCATCTTTGGCTTTGGTGGTTGGTGCACAAATTTGAATAACAGTAGAATTAACTGGCTTTCCTTGTAGTATGGATATTATTCTATCACTGATAGCATCATACTTCAGGATAGATCTTGAAACATTCATTGTGATGAAGAATGCCACAGCATTCCTCTTCAATTTGTCATTTCCAGCATAGTAGATCATATGGTTGTCTGAATCAAAATGGCCCAAACCAGTCCATTTCAGCTCACTAATGCCTAGGATATCAATCTTTATGCGTCCCATTTCATTTTTGACAACTTCCAATTTTCCTAGATTCATACTTCGTACATCCCATGTTCCGATTATTAATGGATATTTGCAGCTGTTTCTTCTCATATTGAGTCATGCCACTTCAACAAATGGAGGCCCCTAAAGTTCTACTTTATCCATATCATTAATGTAGGCTCTACTCTGAGGAGGCAGCCTTTTCCAGTCATATTGTGAGTGTGTTCTGACCTGAGGGGCTCATCTTCCAGCACTGGATTGTTTCAGGGCTAT